TCATCTCTGCAGTAGATAGTTCAATTCCCTCTCCCAGGTTGTTATCATTTTCTCCCACCCCTAGGCCTTCAAACTCCAGTTGATGTATTGGTGCTTTATATTAAATGAGGTACTTTAGATGAATGCTTCACTTGTTGTTCTTATGTCAATAGCTTTTCATACTTAGTGGCCGCCATCACCAGCTCCTGAAGCTCATTAAACTACACATCATAGAACTTCTTCCTCAAAAGTAGTCTCAGAGTTTTCTGGGCAATGGCTATGAGTTGAGCATGGTTGATTGGGAACTGGTATCTCATCCTAGTCTTCCTAAACTTCATCATAAAATCCTTTGTAGACTTGTGTTCATATTGCTTCACTTCCACCAGATCATTAATGATCATCTGAGGTTCCACCCTATATAACTGCTCATGAAAAGCCATCTCCATTTGCCCCCAGTTAACAATGAAATTAAGGGGTAACAGAGAGTACCATTGGGAATCCAAGTCCACCAGCGAGTTCCCAAACAATCTCAGTTTGTAGTTAGGGTTGTCTTTAAACGCCACACATTGATTTGAAAATTTGAAAATGTGATCTTTGGAAAAAGCATTACAGTCTTCCCCGCTGAAAGTTGGGAACGCGGGCATTTGAAATTGAAAGGGAAAGGATTATGCTCATCAACATACTCAGGATAAAGCTTCTAATATGTTATTCTAAACATCGGGCAGGCTTGAGCTTGAGCATTATGTATCACCATCCATCTCAACTCTGCCAACTCTTCCTTAGTTGCTAAGTGACCATATTATTGTGTGGGGTATAAGAAGTCCCCCACTTCGGGCCATGGTCGACGCCCGAGAAAGCTTCCTTCTGTATGTCGAGCTGCCTCCATCTAGCTTCTCTTCATCCTTTATTAACCAATAGTGGTGGCCTGTAAAGAGGAGACTTGTTCTAGTTGTGGATAAGCCTTTTCCACTTGTTTCTCCAACTGAGTTAGATGCACCGATCTTTATTCCTTCCTGCTCGATTTGCCTTTTGACATTTGGTAGTGGTGGCAGAAGATCGAGCAAGCCTATCTCTTGAAACTTGATATGAGCATATTTATGCAAATTAGTTAGCTTGTTTTCGTGCATTTATGTTGTTAGTTCCTAGTTATTTTAGTATTTTAAGCTATTTTTGTGTCTTTGTAGGTCCAAATGGCTAAAGTAGCAAGAAAGTGCATTTTGGAGCAGTTTTGGGCTTAGAATGGATAGCACATGCATGGAGCAAGGTGGATGGACGAATTTGAAAACCAAAAGAGGCTAGGATTATGCTGAAGTTATGAAGAAATTAATTCAAGAAAAAAGGATGCAAGCAAGAAAGAAGGAATGTTAGCCAAAGTTACCTTATTTTGTCCTAAACTTTCCTAATCCTTCACCACTTAATTTCTAGCTGCAAGGAGGATCACTAATTATTTTAGGACACTAAATAAATGATTCTAGAAGACCTAATCCCAGTCAAACAGGGTTGCCGCATCCCTTTCCCTTGCAGTGCAAGGCAAACCACACTCCCCCTTTTTTTTAGGCCTGTCGCACCCTTTTTACCTTTTTCCTCTTGGGATTCTGATTTGTTACCCTTTTCTTGGAGGATTTGGAGTATTAAACTCTTCCCAATTTAATTCCCAGCCATGTCTTTCCTTCTCCTATAAATAAAAGACCTTGTCGCACCATTGAACCCATCCATTCACTACCATTCATACTTTCAGCCATCCTTTCATACAATTCATCACTTAAATCTTCACCCACACCTTGTGCCATAGCAAAGAAGAAGAAGGAGGACCCTTGGATGTGCTTGCCATTCAAGCTTGGATTGCTGGAACATTCTTAGGTGTAATCCATCTTTGTTTTCAATGTTTAAGTTTAATTATCTTTGTTTTGCGAACATGAGGAGCTAAACTCGTTTTAGCTAGGGAGAAATTCAAAGCCATGAACATATTTGCAATATGAATTGATTACTTCTAGTTGTAATTCTATAAATCGTGAATGCAATTTACTTAAATGTTTGATTCAGAACTTATTCTTGTTTGTTGATTAAGGGTGCACACTCAGTTTGCATGCATGAATTTGATGCTAGAATATAAGGGAGTTTCACCTAATAGTTATGAACTTATATTCATAAGTAGTGGAGGTTGCTAGTCACAATTGTGTTAAGTGAATTCCTGGCAAAAGGATCATGCTGTTCATATTTACGAATGCCTTGTCAATGCTTATGATTTTCACAAAGCTTAATGATCTTTGATTGTATCTCTATTATGTTGTTCTTGTAGGGAACTATTGAAGAATAATTTGGTTTGCCGGTGCGTTGTCCATCCAATTCAATGACTTAAGGAAAATCTGAAGGTTAATTAGTGCTGTTCAGGGTTAATCTGGGGCGTTGAGGTTCATGGTTTATTGGAAAAGTAACTGGAAATCAATTTGTATACAAGTGTTTCATGTGTGGAGAAGAACCCTCTAGCTAGCCAATCACTCATAATTCCCCCAAATTTATGCTAAACTTGCTTAAGTCTTTAATTTACTTGTCTTTACTTTAAATTCGTCAAAAACCCAATTCCCTTTACTTTGTTGTGTCAAAGTTAGAATATGTCCAAACTTGTGTTTTTAAGTATTTTGAGTCAAGTTAAAATCAATTTTCGTTCAAATCACCCTTTAGTATCTAGTTTGAGTCTATTTGATTGTTTTGTGCTGTTTTGAGTCTCTTTAGTTTGTTTTGAGTTCTTTGAGTCTAGTTAAATGTTTTTTAAGCCTAGTTTTGTGTTTTTTAGTCAGTTTTAAGTAGATTAGCAATCCCTCCTAATCCCCGGCCTAGAACGATCCCTACTTACATCTTTACTACAATTGTCAATAAGAAGGTTTAATTTGTGTGCTAATTTATATCACATCAAAACTCCTATTTAGGGTCTTCTTGATGACTGGTTTCAGCCCATTCCTTCCTTTTCCCTTTGTTCTTCTTTTCTTCAAGTAAGGGGAACTGAGGAATTACTGGCTCATTTTCTGGGCTCGCCTCCACTACTCCTTCATTGGTATAGTCATCTTTCGGTGTGGAGTATTCTAACTTCAACTTTCTTTATAGTGTTCATGTTAAGGAACGCGGCCTGAGACACCCCGACCTAGATCGAGGCATGCTGGCTACCATATATAATCATACTAATGCATAATCAGGCATAGAGAGCATTTGACATGGCATTTCAAAATATAAAACCATTTAATTAAGTTTTCTGGGAAAAATACCAAGTATATATATATATATTGTTGCGTGACGGCCAGCATGCCTCGATCTAGGTCGGGGTGTGTCACGGCCTGCTAAAATCTCCTCTGGTTTCAAGAGAGATCTTCTCCATACTCCTCAATACTTGCATCATGGTAGCTTGCAGATCTTCATTAGTGACCTTTCCACCCGACTTCTAGAGGTTAGGCTCTCTAAGATCCCGGGGTTGTGTAGTGAAGGAAAGTTTTATGGGTGATCTGTCATGTTTGCTCATGTCGAACAAAAAGGTTGCCCAAATTCTACTTTCCACCTGAATGTTCGATCATTCCTTTGTCTTGGCATACAATATTACAAAATAGCTCCTACTGGGCATGCCAAAATTATGTTCGGGCTAGATTTGTCCCTTGCACAACTCTCCTAGTCTTGCCTATCGGGCAAGGTTTGCTGCTTGGTGTACTGTAATATGAGTTTGTTATTAATTTGAATGGTGCCTTTGTAGGGCTTTGAGGCTCACAATCAAAACTAATATGGGTTTGAGCGTGCCACGGTTATCTTTGTTTAACATATTGTTCTTTTTAGTTATTAAATGAATTGATTACATGCACCACAAGTTACTTCGACTTCTTAGTTTGATTGGATCGTTCACAGATAGGTTAAGTCTGTATAAAGTTATTTTTCTTGCCTTGTAAACAAGGACTTTACTCATAATATCATATGTCCAATTAAAGGAAGTCTAAGACCCTTCAAGTTATTTCTTTGGTTACCAGTTTAGGCTAACAGTAAAGAAGCAAGATTAATTAGTTTGACAAGATTAATTATAGATGATACTTGAATGAAGGAAGTTGAAAATGACATAGGATCCAATGAAAGATGCATAAACAACATATTTACTTTATGTAAAGTACAAACAAAAGAGACTCGAGCAAGATTACAACTTTGCCAGGCAAGGTTCGTCTTCTTACAACACTTCTCTTTGTGTTTTACAAGGATTGAAGTCTTGGAGAATGAAATATAAACTGGGTTTACCAAAGAGATTCGATACTACAACACAGAGAAGTATAGCAGAGCTTCTAAAACTTGACAAAAATGGCTTTCTATGGTGGGCCTGCAACAAAGAGGGTAAAGTTTGAACAAACTAAAGCTTTTTGGTTTCTTACTTGTTGGAGTGCAGAGTTCAAAGTATTTTGATTGATTGGTTGAGAGAGTCTTCTATTTGCATCCCTTACTACTTTTATAGACTTTCTAGCCCGATTGTCCAAGCATTTCCTTTCGGTGATGGCTTTCAGAGTATGGTGAGTCACCATCTACTTTTGTTATTTACCTATCCATGCCATGAAAAAGTAATTTTTGCTAGGGGTGAGCTGCCCTCTATCACTTGTCACTTCACACAGGCTTGTTGCTTATTGCTTGGAAAAAAATGATTTTCAATTCTTCTTAGGCTGCTAACTGTTTGGGCCTAATTCTCCTTCTCCTTTTCGCGTTCTTGGGCCTTCAACTACACTAAGCCCAACATTAAATATCCACCCAAATAGGCATATGGTATGATTTTCAATTTTTCGGAATAGTTGACATTACATTTAAAAAAAAAATTGTTATTTGATCGTAAACATATGCCGGTTTAATGATCAGTTATTGTGAAATACACTTACACGCACGTCAAAACTGATTGGAGCCTTTTTTTTTTTTTTTTTTTTTTTTTTTTTTGGGAAATAACCGATTGGAGTCTTTGGAAAGGTAAAAATCAGCCTGAAATAATTTTACAGTTCAGTATCTACACAAGAGAATATAGTTCACTTTTAACTTTTAAGGTATTATCTACATCTTCAAATGATCAGAGAATTCACACAGCATCAAGAGACCCAAGCAACTCCAATGTTTGTCAACTATATATTTACAACCTATGAAAAGTGTCGTCTGTAGATACATAGCGTTACATCTCACGTCGAAAGAGACCTACAAATTTGCTTCTTCAACAAGAAATGTCATAAACCTGCAATGGTATAAGATCAATATGCACTGGTAATGCATATTCCACCGTATGAATTTGGCATACATATCTTGCTGGTCAGCTACTTCTTTTCATTTCCCTTTTGAGTTCATCAAACACCATATCGCTAATCTCATCCGCTGAGATTTCTTTGACAAACTTCCCAAGTTCTGGCTGTAGTTTTGCCAGTTCTTCATTTACTTCATACTTTTTAAGTTCTGGAGTCTCAGTGGTCGTTGGATTGGCCTTCCCAATGTCAGGGTCTAGTTTTGGCAACTCTTCCTTCATGTCTAGTGTATTTGCCCCCTTGATGAAGGAAGAATTGGAGACTTCATCCTGTTTGAGTTCTGGAGTCCCGGTGGTCAACGGATTGGTCTTACCAAGTTCCAGCCCTAGCTTCATATCTTCCTTTGGGTCCAGTGTCTCCCCCTTAGTTGAGGAAGAATTTGAAACTTCTTCTTGTTTGAGTTCTGGAGTCCCAGTTGTCAATGGAGAGTTAGCGGTAGGAGACAGACTTGTACTGGCCCTATCACTAGAGGGCGTCTCTGGTCTTCGCGGTGAAGCTTCAATCTCCAATATTGGTCTGTCAATGGATTCAAATTCGTCTTTCAAATTTTTGATGGCATCAAAGAGTTCTTTGACCTTCTGATCATCTCTCCTGAATCAAGAAAACACCGTGTATTCATCCATATAAGAGGAATGAGGTTATAAGCATAAAAGCAGTGCACCTAATGGCAGTAGGGAAAATGACAGCACGTACAACTACCTGAAAATGCCTTCGGTTTGAACGTAGAATTGCTTTTTCATGGTATCCACTACACTTAAGGTAATCAGAAACTGGAAAATGAACAAAGAAGCATAGATTGAGGAATATTTCCCTTATTAACAAAAACACATAACAATGAATTCCCTTAAGCACTAATTCAGACAATAGATAATATTAGCAAAAAACAGGGGAAGATTTATGCATACCTTGGCTTCCATGTCCACATAATCCTCTTCAAGATTTTTCCTTGGGTTACTTTCTTTTGAACTTCCATCATCTATGCCAGTTATATTTGCTCTGATGTAAATGAATAATCAGAGGCTTGATCTAACGGTGTAAAAACAGCTAAGAGAGAAACAGAAATTACCCTTTACTTGAGTTCAAGCACTCCACAAGAGTCCTGATGCGAGTGATTGAAGATCCTAAGGTTTCCTAATTGCGATACAAGAGAGACACGCCAATGAGGTGGAAAAAAAATGTAACAGATAACAAGTGAATATGATGCAGTATTTAAAACAACTATCAATGAAGAAAAGTATTACCTTGTAAGTAGAGAGAAGTTGGATTACCAAATTCACAAAATAGTCTCCATATCTCTCCAGTTCGCCACTTGAACAGGAAAGAACCAAGTATCATAATCACCAAATATGTTAACCCATCATCCACTACAGGATGGACACAACAATGCAGGTACGCTAATCATTAAATATCTCGTATCACAAAATATTAATTCCATTTCCAGTTTTATGAATACATTAATTTGACGTAGTATGTTGGGAATCTTGGGATCAAATTAATTTGCCGATCAGTGTAAATGAGATCTACATACTTGACCTGCTTCTCCTTTTGATGCGTGTATGAGGATTGCAGAACCCAGGTATCTTCCAAAAAACTAATCCACGTATTGACCACATCAACTTCTGCTTTACATGAATCGACAGATCTTGATAGCTCATCTTCCTGTCATTAAAGAAAACTAATATAAAAAGATACTTCCATAGCGAACTATCAAATGTTCATCCAATTTAGAGCTGAAAAACCGTACGTAACGTATGCATTCTGAATTCAAACCAAGGCATAATAAAAAACCTGTATACCTTTGCTTTTATGTGTACAAGAATCTGATTGCTTGCTTCATCAAATTGCTCTCTTTCTTCCCTTGCATTGTGAAGGCGTGCACGAACGGCATTCAACGTGATAATCACCTATAAAACAATGTTCAGCTGTATATCTTATCCCAGCAAAAGTTTATGAAAAACAAAACTCAACAGGACTCATTTTATAGACTATAGAATTGGCAGGAGTGACATTTGATATTCAGCTCTACTGATGTTCAACAACAAAAAATGCATACGGACGATTTACTGTCAGGTGATCGTGATCATCAATATGGATAGTTCAGATTACATGTTACCTAGAAGCCGAGAACTAACAATCAATTAAACAGTATTGGAAATGACTGCGATCCCCTAGAGTGCATATTTTCTTGAAAGCATAAAAAGAGTGATATAAGAAACAGAGGAGGAACCTTTTTCAATTCACTTTGGAGTTCTTCTCTTTGCCTCTCAAGTTTTCCGATCTCTGCTACCAGTTCCTGAAAAATTTACTAAAATTTGTATACCTCAACAACTCAACCGAACACATTTATTTCGATAAACAGTCCACTATAGACCGTAGGCCTGAACCAAATACGACTTATAATTTAACAGTCCACCAAGCAAAAGATGTCATTTATCTAAAGTTAAACTTCTATAAATTAATGCCTTGGGAGTTAGGACCAAGGAAAATCTATTACCTTAGCGAATATTAAATAATCAATACAATAATAATATTAATTTGTCAAGGTATCCCTTTTTTTTTTTTTCAAGTATTGTCCCTTGTATTTAGTTTCTTGCTTTACCAAGTAACAATTCTATGTATTTATTTAACCAAGTAAAATTCATAAATCTACTTATTTTTCCCAAAATAGATTGCACATTGTTCAATGCACTACATTATTTCCTTTTATGAACATTTAACCATGGGTATGAAAACTAGGGGGAACTTTGCAGTTTTTATTTAAGCATCAAACTAATTTGGCACATGCCATTGTAGCAATACTTCAACGACAAGGTTAATCCACAAAGGTAGAAAAATTGTCTAAGCACATAACTAAGAAGATACCATTTGTGTTGAATACCACAAATCCTGAGCAACTGAAACTCATTTTCGAATTTAGTATAATAGAGAGGCTTCATGAAATATAAAATATTAATTGAACTTCGATTAACATTCAAAGCTTATTCAATCAAGACATATCTGTGCAAAAGAGTTCCTTAATTGGATGAAAATAAGTCCTTTGAGGCAGCATACCTTCTCAATTTGGCTTACTTCATTAGCTTTAGCTACACGAAAACTGAGTGCTTCTTCTTTCTGAAACCTGCTTGAAGTATCGAAGGAACAAAAAAGCGTTTTACCAATATCAAAGCCAACCCTGATTAAGAAAACGCCATATACTCAAAATTTAACATTTTCCATGTCAGATAGCAATTAATCAAAGATCTACTGGAGATGCATGCACCAAACAGGTACTGATCCCAAAGTGAACAATCCCTTTATAAAATAACAAGCAATCCTAATTCACCTAAGAAACATTGACGAGTATCGGACACCCCTACTGATGAAAAAACAATTATCGGGTATGCTCAGTCATGACGAAAAACTATCTTCACAACGGATGTGATTAAAAAAAAAACATGGAAACATGCATACATACACTAGCACCTATAAACACAAGAAAATATCTTTGAAGATAGTATTTGAAACCTGTGGTCTGAAATGCGCTTTTCAGCTTGTGAAGTGGAGTTGGCAAGAGATTCTGATAATATTTTCAATTTCTCAACCTGGAAGAAGAGTTAGAACACCGCAGTTAAATACTAATAAGAGAAGTCCTGACCCAAGAATATGGGGTCTAATTTCCTACACACGTGCAATTGCCTTCAAGTGGCACAGCTAAGTTTCTTATGCAGCAACCATAAGTACACATAAAGAGTAAAAGGTCGTACCCAGTGCACAAGGCTCCCGCTTTACGCAGGGTCTGGGAGAGGTGAATGTCGGCTAGCCTTACCCCCATTTATGGAGAGGCTGCTCCCAAGATAAGTACACATAAAGAGTATTAAAAAAAAATCTAAAATAATTTTAGATAAACTTTTGTAAAACAACTGCCTTGTTCTTCAGACTGTTTCTCTAGAATGGTTCAAGATGCAGCTAGTTTCCATGCATACCAAGAAATGTTTTAGAATTGTTAACCCTGAATCAGTCTAAAAATTGGGAACTAGTTGTCAGTTCAACTTTGGTGACAGTTCAAAGAAGAGGGGGAGGGACGGGACTGATATAGCACGGAATTTAGACCTTTTCAGAATGCAGCTCAGGTGAGTCCCCATTGCCCAATGATTTCTTCTTTAGTAACAGATCCTCCAACCTGGAACAGAGTTGAATTTCCACAAGCGCATCTTTTAAATTCTGCAAGGAAATCAGAGCTTTCAATGATTTGCACTTAACTACCACAATTCCTTATAAAAATCATCGCAATGCAACTGCATCTATAAGAATTATCGGTTAGCTGTCTGAACTATGCATTTGGCACAGCTATACTAAATCTAAACCCTAAGTAACCTATTCACATTCTTTTTTACTTCTCCTAAAAATTGGTTGAGCACAATAAGTGGACTCCTAAGATATAACAAGATAATACATATGTTTATGTTTATGCTTTTTGATGTGTAAAGAAATGGGAATACATTGGATGTGAAAATTTTGTTATAGAATGATAGATAAATCAAAACAAAAATTAGAACAAATATGCACATAAGAAAAGAGATGTCTTCCCAAAGTCAAAATAAAAGTCGGAAACACGAATAAAATCATCTCCATTAAAGCCTCCATGTATGGGCTGTGTATCTGCATGTGTGCGTGAAACTCCATACAAATGTGAGTGGATTTGCATACATGGATGAACACACCTGCATACATATTTAGTGTATCTGCATAAATAAGAAGATCAAGCTTACCTCTATTGTTGCATCTCTTTCCTTCTCAGAGGATTTTTCACAACCTTCACTCAGAGGCTTCTGGTGTGCCATCAATTTATCAAGTTCTTCCCTGATACTGCAGGCTTCAGCATCTATTCTGAGAGCACAGAACAGATCACCAAAACATGTGGAGAAAAAGATGGGGTGAATCAACATTCATTAAAGGAGATCAATAGAGGGTAAGCAAACAAAAGAATACTGTTATTACCTTCCTATACATAATCAACCACCAAAGACAACCAAAATGAAATGGTATAGAAAGACAATTACAAAGAATCCTGCTTGACAGGTCCCAGAGAGAGAGAGAGAGAGGCAGCAGCAGTATCATATATAGAGAAACAAGTTTAACATATCAACTCATTCGGTGGAACTATTCTTAATCAAAGAAAGAGCCAGCAAAATCACAATACACCTCCAATAGAAGTCATTTTCATTCCATATATCTCTTAGTGCTTATGTCAATTCCCAGACATGCAACAATGAAAATGGAAAGAAAAATGTTCACCAATGACCACCTTGCAAGATCTGCATTTATTTTCAGCCCTGCAATTGCGCCTTGAGCAAATTGGAGCAATTCTTCTCGCTTTATCTGAAAAGAGAAGTAAAAAGTAAAATGGAGAAGAGAAGGGATAGGATGAATGCGCTAAAATCGAAATTTTTTAGTTTGCAACGTGATTGTGTAATGTTAAAAATGCAGCTCTTTTTTACTAAAGCTATGGAATAATCTGAAAGTAAAAAACATGGTCAATCATGTAGCGAGAAAACCATGCTATGCCATACAGAAGATGGTAGTTCGAGAACATGAGAAAAAAGGGAACACTTTGTTGGGGACTTGAGACATGAAAATCATTAAACCTTGGATTGGATTGAGACATGAAAATCTCAAGCACAACATTAATTTTTCGTATATCATAAATCAAAGGACCGGAAACTTGTACCAAATTGTAGCAAACTTAATGGTTCCATCGGCTAAATGAGCTACCTAGTACCGTTTGGAGTACAGGCTCAGGTCCTGAGATTTATATGGCCCCTTGCAAAAGCTGAATATATGGACCCCTTTTAGGTGTCTGATATCAATAGTATTTAGAGGCATACAGTCTAAATCAACCCCGTGTAAATGTGCATGTTGTCATGCTGAAGACATGCATACCCCGTCCTTACCAGTACTTCATCTTGATAGTATGAAAGTGCAATTGCCAAATTCTGTACGCTGCTCATTACTACATTATGTACTTCCTTCCCTCCTGTGAGACAGAGCCTGCACATAACCATACAAGAAAATTCACTTCATATTTACTATTCAAATAACATTATCTGCAAAAGTGAGCTTTAAATAAATTAACAATCTTTCTTAAATATTTTTTTGGTCAACCAAATATAATTTTCTTATCCTTGTCATCGACCAAAAATGAAACTTCAAGGACCTAAGTTATCCCAAACAAGTACTAATAATAATAATCGGCCATTATGAGAAGATTCGAAGAGTGAGAAAAATCACCCATATATCTCCAAAAGTAGTGAAACTTCTTCCTCATTTGGTTCTTCAAGAATCTGAGTCATACAAAAGAGTTAACCTGCGGTTAAACTCCCTGGATCAGCAAATACAAAGCCAAGCCACTGTATGCAGAAAGTCAAGGGAAAGCTAAAAGGATGGAAAATCTAGATAGCATCATACTTCTACTACTTGTCAAGCGGGTTAGAAGGAGAAGGAAGAAATCCTAACCATTAAAAGAAGTTATTATAATTGTGTATATAATTCAAACAGCGTTTATCTCTAATTATAATGCAATTATTATGCACATGTTGATGACGCCCAATTATTATATATCCGGTGCTCTATTCACTATTCATATATTCACTAGGGATCAGCTTTGTAGTTGGTAAAAGAAAATAAAACATTGCCTTCTAATTCTATGTCAACCAAGTATATATAGTGAAATCTCACTCATCGTACATACACCAAACACTCATCGTTTACAAGGAGATTGTTATCAAGCCTATTGAAAGCAAACAAGTATACTTTCTCAACCTACCATGGACAATGTTATGCCTTCAAGAGCTTGGCTATGAAGAAAGACATCACGAAAAGTTTTCAGTTCATCTCCAGCATCAGAGTCTACGTAATAAACCTGTCATAAACATTAACCCAAGAATTACAAAAGAGCAACTAAAAACAATACCATAGAAAACAAAGTGCAGGGTTTACTCACCAGGGTAGGTTTTCTTGGGGAATCTGTGGACTCATCAGAATTAAGGTGGTCTTCGGGACCCTTTTCATTACTCGCATTGTAAAGGGTGGACAATCTCTCAATTTCTTTAAGTGCAACCAACCACCTCCGCAGCAGCTGAACCCTTTCTACACCTCTACAAGAAACAGAAACTTCTTCCAATCTTTTCGCAGTGTGCTTAAAACTCTGTAAATTTCTCGGACGCTGATTCACATAAATCATGTGAACAAAACCCAAATTATAAGATAATTCACCAAACAAATAAATAAAGCAAATATGAACAGGGAACTCATTTCTCCCTATAAAATGGATTGAATGTTTTTGATTAATCAATCTGCTGCAATTGCAACAGAGGTTTTATATACATCTTATTACATACGCATGCAATAAACAAAAATATTGGAAATGACATCCTTGCTGTCCACAATGCTGCTGTCAGAGCATCCATGTGAAGAGCCCTTCTGTCCATGACATGCTGTCCACGATGCACTGTGAGTGGAGCATCTTCGACAGAAGAAGATGCCTTCCAGTAAAATAATCTTTTCAACACTCCCCCTCAAGTTGGAGAGTGTATGTCAAGAACTCCCAACTTGCGTAACATGATTGAGAATGCATCCTTCCCCAACGCCTTTGTGAACACATCTGCTAGTTGCTGTGAGGAAGAGACATGTTTAGTAACAACGGAACCATCTTGCACTTTGTCTCTGACAAAGTGACAATCAATCTCTATATGTCTAGTCCTGTCATGGAAAACTGGGTTAGCAGCTATGTGTAAAGCTGCTTGATTATCACAATGTAGTGTTGCAGCCCCTGGATGTGATAAGTTCAGGTCTTTGAGAAGATGTCGAAGCCAAGACAATTCACAACAAGCACCCGTCATAGCTCTGTATTCTGCTTCAGCTGAAGATAGGGAAACCGTCTTTTGTCTTTTTTGATCTCCAAGAAATCAAAGAAGATCCCAAGAATATGCAATAACCAGTGGTAGACCTTCGGGTGATTAGGCAACCTGCCCAGTCCGAGTCACAATAAGCTGTTAGAGCTAGATTGTGATGTGAGGAAAAGAAAAGGCCCTGACCCGGTGTGCCTTTGATATACCTTAGAACACGAAGTGCTGCCTCCATATGTGGCTTATGTGGTTCATGCATAAAACGGCTCAGCACATGCACAGAATAAGTAATGTCGGGGCGAGTGATGGTCAAGTAGATCAAACGCCCAACAATTCTTCTATACTGAGATGGATCTTTAAGAAGTTCCCCTTTGTCTGAAAGCTTCAAATTTTGTTCCATTGGGAAGTCCACTGGCCGTGCTCCCAAGAGGCCAACGTCCTTCAAAATCTCCAAAGCATATTTCCGTTGTGAGAGGGAAATACCTTTGTGTGAACGTGACACTTCAATCCCCAGAAAATATTTCAAATCTCCGAGATCTTTGATTCGAAAACGACTATGTAGGAATCTTTTAAGAGAGGATATGGCAGCCATATTATTTCCAGTAATGACGATGTCATCCACATAAATTAAAAGGGCTGTGAATGACTTTCCTTTTCGATGAGTAAAAAGGGAGTAATCGGCTTTGGATTGTACAAAACCTGCAGTTTGAATAGCAGTGGAGAACTTGGCAAACCATTGACGAGAAGCTTGCTTTAAACCATACAACGACTTGTTGAGGCGACACACTAAACTCTCCCCCTGTCGCAGAAGACCAGGAGGGGGTGACATATAGATTTCCTCATGAAGATCGCCATGCAGAAATGCGTTATTAACGTCCAGTTGGTGAAGGGACCAATTTTGAGCAGAAGCAAGAGCTAACAGACAGCGAACAGTAGTCATTTTAGCTGTAGGTGAAAAAGTATCATGGTAATCAATGCCTTCCATCTGAGTGTAGCCCTTGGCCACCAAACGCGCTTTGTAACGCTCAATGGTTCCATCAGACCGCCGTTTGATCTTATAAACCCATCTGCAACCAATAGGAGATTTTCCAGGAGGAAGAGAAGTAAGAGTCCAAGTGTGATTATCTGTCAACGCCTGTAGTTCAGATTGCATTGCGGCGGCCTGCCAGTGGGGGCTAGAAGCGGCCCTTGGATATGTGTCAGGCTCCTCATCATGAGTAACATGAGCAATGTAAGCAAAATGACTTGGTGAGTAACGGTGATAAGATAAGAAATTACTCAATGGATACCGTGTACCTTTACAAAGATTGGACAACGAAGACGACGATGGTTTGGGTGTGGGCAGCGTCACTTGGGAGCATACATAATCACCGAGGTAAGCAGGAGCAGTGCGATGGCGTTGGGGTCGCCCAGGAGAGTCTAATGGAGCGATACTGTCATCAGGGGAAAGAGGAGGATTTATGGGATTGGGGGAAGATGTGTCAGAGGTGGTGGGATGGGGTGAAGAAGCGTCTGAAAGGATAGAAGGGGATGAGGCAGGGAGGGATGGTGAAGTAGACGGTGAAGGAGATGGTTCTAGAGTGGATGGAGAAGGAATGGGATCGACAATGGGGTAAAAAGGCATGTTTGTAGGTGGTGTTACCGTGGGAGAAGTTGGCAAGGGCTGAAAAGGGTAGGTATTTTCATGAAAAATGACGTCCCGGTTCGTAAAAATCTGTTTTGTTGTTAAATCATAAAGTTTGTAAGCCTTTTGGCCGAAAGGATAACCAAGAAATACACAACGCCGAGCGCGGGCATCAAACTTATGAGAAACGTGTACATTGGTCGCATAGGCAAGACATCCAAACACACGTATGTGAGAAAAAGTGGGAGGTTTGGCATGAAGTAGTTCATAAGGGGTTTTGTAATGGAGAAGAGGAGTTGGGAATCTGTTTATAAGGTGTACAGCGGTTAACACACAATCCCCCCAAAAATGTAATGGAAGATTAGCTTGAAAACGTAAAGCACGTGCCATTTCAAGAATATGACGATGCTTGCGTTCTACAACCCCATTTTGTTGAGGTGTATAGACGCATGAATGTTGAAAAAAAAACCCCAATATCCTTTAAAAAATGACGTAAAGAAAGGAACTCCCCCACCATTATCGGTTCGAATTGTTTGGATTTTGTGTTTGGAATTGTGTTTGCACAAAGGAAAAAAAACGTTTGAGTAGGTTTTGTGTTTCACTTTTATGATGCATAAGGAAAACCCATGTAAACCTAGAATAATCATCTACCACTGTTAAAAAATAATTGGCTCCAGAAAGAGAACTTATCTTATAAGGACCCCAAATGTCACAATGGATGAGATCAAAAGGTTTCTTAGTAGTAATTGAACTAATGCCAAAAGGAAGACGATGTTGCTTGGCCAATGGACATATGTCGCAAGCATCATTCAACTTGAAAGGGATATGCAAGATATTTTTTGCCATAAACTCTAATCTAGATGGCGATATGTGACCCAAACGTCGATGCCACAATTCAGTGGAGGAGGTGACAAGGCTGCATGAAGGTTTGACAGAAGGTGTTGGCCTATCTGAAAGCAGCGCCACCAAGTAATACAGTCCTCCACGCTGTTTACCCAAACCAATCGTTTTCTTCGTAGCCAAATCCTGCAAAATGCACCAGTAAGGGAAAAAGGTTACTGAACAAGCCATGGCACTAGTGACCTTGCTTACAGACATTAAATCAACTTTGAAAGTTGGCACACATAATACGTCTTGCAAATGAACTGAAGAATTTAAAGATAAATTCCCAATGGATGTGATAGGAGCTGTCTGTCCACTAGGCATTTGAACAGGTGGTAAGTTGACACTTTTGAGACAACGAGTGAGTGAAGTTGGTGAAGATGTAATATGATCCGTTGCACCACTGTCGATTATCCATCGACGTAGGTGCTTCAGAGGTTTTGACAAACCTGATGAGTTTTCAGTGGCATTGACGGCGGCATTGGCTTTGGGAGGATTCTGTGTTGTCTCATTGTTGTTCATGATGGACAGTATCTGCTGGAATTGTTGGTCAGAGAGGCCAGGTACAGCGGAATGCAGTTCTTGCAGAGAAGCCCCATTGGTGGTATTGTTGGCAGAACTTCCATGGCGTTTGTTGCGTCCACCACTGTTGTTCCCACGTCCACCACCTCTGTTGCTACGATGAAGACGATGTTCGGGAGGGTATCCGTGCAGTTTGTAGCATGTATCAATGGTATGGTGGGCGGTGTCACAATAAGTGCAGTGGAGTTGTCTACGGGAAGATGAGCTGTTGCCAGGTTGCGACGACTGCTGCCATGGACGAACTGCCATTGCTGATATCTCTGCAGCTTCACGTGAATCGCTTACATCGCGCTGTTTTTCTTGCTGGACAATCATGGAATACACTGAACGCACAGAGGGCAATGGTTTCATCATCAGAATGTTGCCTCGCGCAGCACCATAAGACTCGTTGAGGCCCATGAGGAATTGCATCAATCTGGTTTTCTCCGCTTGATCGCCTTGCTTCTTTAAAGCACCACAGGTGCAAGACTCATGATCATTGTAGGATGCAAGTTCATCCCACAAACTCTTTAGTTTGGTATAGTAAGCAGCAACAGATAATTGATCCTGAGAAATAGAAGCTATTTCTCGTTGAATTTGATAAATTCTGGGTGCATTACCTTGGCTGAAACGATCTTCAAGATCCTGCCAAATAGCTTGGGGTGTGGTGTAGTAGACAATGCTATCATGGATAGTCTGCTCAACTGAATTCAAGATCCAGGAAACGATCATGTCGTTGCAGCGTTTCCAGGAAGAAAAATCATTCGGTTTCGTCTTTTCATCAGGAGCTTCCAGTGTACCATCTACAAAACCCAGCTTGTTCTTAGCACTCAGAGAAAGCTTTACAGAACGACACCAAGTGGAGTAGTTGTCTCCGTTGAGAAGTTTGGAGACGAGAACCATCGCTGGATGGTCGGAATGGTGAATGAAAAAAGGACTGGAAATGTTGGATTTATTTCCATCCAAACTCTGTTCGTCACCCATGAAAGAACAACGACAGAGAAGAAAAAAATGGTAGAAAAAGATGCAGCGGGAAGAAGCTAAGGGTCTGCTTGAATTAACCTTGCTCTTGATACCATATAAAATGGATTGAATGTTTTTGATTAATCAATCTGCTGCAATTGCAACAGAGGTTTTATATACATCTTATTACATACGCATGCAATAAACAAAAATATTGGAAATGACATCCTTGCTGTCCACAATGCTGCTGTCAGAGCATCCATGTGAAGAGCCCTTCTGTCCATGACATGCTGTCCACGATGCACTGTGAGTGGAGCATCTTCGACAGAAGAAGATGCCTTCCAGTAAAATAATCTTTTCAACACTCCCCAAATAAATTGGGTGCGTTTGGGTACATATTTCGAAAAAGCGCCTCTTCTCGTAAGCATTTTACTGAAAGCACTTTCGTTAAAAGCTTGTTAAACTGACTTTCACACTCTCCCTTTGTCCCTTATTCTCCCCTTATTCGTTCAATTTTACTAGAAACAAGAGGGCGAGTGCAAAGGAGAAAAGGGGAGTGCAAAAATCAATTTCCCAACCAAAATTCAATTGCTTTCTGCAAAAGCAATTAGAAGTGTAGCAACCATAAATGCTTTTGGCCATTCTAATAAGCCTCCAAACACGCCCTCCATTTAAAGTTTAAACAGAAAAAATGCGCAAAATGACATAATAAATAAAGGGACTTTGAGTCAAAATTTGAATTTTTTTTTTCAAACGGAAAACAAGCGAGTAAGGAAATCGTACAATGCGGTCAGGGAGGAGGAGTCTGGCACCGGCGACGGCATTGCCGGCGTGGAGGACGACAGTGTCCGCGTAGTTTCGTACGGTACGGGTGAGGGTGTTGGTGGCCCCTGCTTCCACTGCCAGGTTCACGGCATTTCTAATCCACGACATGTCATCCGACGGACGCTCTCTTCTTTTTTTTTTCTCGCGTTTTCTCTCACAATTTTCCCGCTAGCCAAACAAGTAGTAACAGATCAATTTATGAAATTAGAGGAATAAATTAGTAATTAAATGGTGAAATTATGCTTAATTTTGTTGAATTTTGGGTTGATGAACATTGGAAGAGAGGAAGAAGGAGAAGAAGTCAAGCGATTCCTTTCGGGTGCAGAAATGAAACCAACGGTTTTTTCTGGTTTTAATTGGGAGCGCATTGCGCGGTATTGCCTTTTGTTTCGCTTCCTTATTCCTTTTCGGACTCTGAAATTACCAAACTACCCCCTCTTTACCAATTTGCCCACGAGTTGTAGCATGGAACTGGAGGATTTCTCGGAAGAGAACGCGCAATCTTTTACCCCCCTTACGACGTCGTTCCGGGCTTAAAAATTAATTCCCGCTCTTTTTATCACTTTTTGTTTAGTCATTCATGACTCGTTTGAGTTATTTTAAAATCACTTTCGAACGAGCACTTATTTTGTCATTAAGAATTTAACTCATGTTACTTGGTTGAACTTCATCATAAGAAACATACTAATCAAACTTTATCGGCAGATTTTTAGTTTCAGGATCAATACTCACAACTTTTAGTTCAGCAATTAATATTCAAGAATTTTTAAAATAAGCGAAACTCCAACTGTGCCAAAGTCCAAGACCAATGCTCCAATATGGGAGTTCCGTAACGATTTTTCCTTTCTAACACGAAGACATTCCAAATTACTCCAATTTACGGAAAAAAAGGAATTTAAACTTGGGTACAAGGAACGAACAAACATACATTTGCAAAGTGCATAATTCACTAATATTAAAGGAGAAGGGCAATAGGAGGGGCAAGAACTTTTATTCTTTAAGAAAGCTTTCTTTCCTATCAAAATTCGGAAATTCTAGTACAATGTCAATGGCTTGGATATTACACTAATAATACAACTGACCAAGAAAAGTAACCACCACTTCCATTGTGTGCATAGAATGGGGATGATCAGCAAGAATGTGGAGTATTGTTCTTTCTATTTCGTCTATAGCTCGTCCTCGAAGCCACCAACACCGACGTGTTTGGCCAAAGGGGAATGCTTTCCCGGCAAGTAACGTCCATCAGTCAATTTCCGGCAGTGGCACTTTCCAATAGTTCCACGAGTTGAAGTCTTCCTGCACATATGTCGAAAATCAAGTTCGTCCATCATCAGTGATAAAGAAAAATCCAGAGTTCAAAGGCTTTGGATTATGTTCGGAGGAGAGGGTGCAAAGGGGTATAAGTTACCTGCTCAACCAATGACGTTGGAGGAAACATGTCGTTGACGAGAGTGTGTAAAGATGTGTACGTCTTCACATCAGCGGGATGATGGCTGATGGCCACCTCACCCTGCCAGTTAACGACAACGGTTTAGCCACAGACGAAACATGCAATGCTCTCTTTAGTTTGTAGAAACATCACCAGAAGATAAATACGAAATATACCTTGGGATTGATTATGAATATTTTGCCCTTTGGAATCCCAATTTTCCTGTAGCTGAGCTCATCCGTGTCTCTATTTCCAAATCCTGCGTAGAATGGATTGTAATCGGCGGGGAAGAGTTTTTTAATGTCCTGCAATATATGATTTAGCATGCATCGCAACCGTTAGAAGAAGGGGATACAATGCCAACCCAAAGTGTTCGAATTTGAACTCGAGCTTTAGCTTTTTTTGCTATTTACCTCTAAACAGGCAATTTTGAATTCATGTGGTGCTCTTCTTACAACTGCCATCAGCAAATATGAAAAAACAAACTGATCAGCACTAACTAAATAAATAATTTCGAAAATTAAAGCAGGCAGAATTCAAATTGTGAGCAAATAAAGGAGCTATTTAGTATCTGGAAGTGGTGGTATGTTGTATAAAGGATATAAACTATATCTTATTTGTCAAAGACCGATGAAAGTAACAAATGACGATCAAGTCAGTACTGTCTCAAAGCCAAGTGAAACACATAAAGGAAAGGCTCTCATATCCAAATCTACAGAGGACTTGATAGTCTCATCGTGTATCAATACTGAATCGGAGAGCAAGAATGGTTGCTTGTTTTACAAAGGCTCCACATATGACCACAACATGGCAATATGTGTTGATGATCCAAATCAACCTATCACCATCTAAAATATCTATTCCGTGATAAACACTACAAAAAATCTCTATGTTTGCGTTTCTCTATTGTTAGTTTCCTTTTCGGTTTAATTTCACAGAGATGTACTTCATGAGGAAAGCAGCCAGAACTAGTGTTACAGAGTGGGCAGCAAAAACATTATAATACAGCTATTCAATGCAAGCTGAACACAAATTACAGAGGAGACCTCACCTTCACGAATCAATGAAGGAAATAATCCATCGGGTGAGATAACGACAGGACCATTAGGTAAAGCTTTTCCATCCTGCAAGTACAGAAGAGTAACCAAATTGGTTACACAAATCATTCTATCAACAAAGCCTCAACAATCTCAACCCTATCAGTCTAATATTTGCCTTTGATCACAAGAAGGAGGTAAAGAAAAAAATTTGGTGTTGGATTAGAAGCAAAGGGTGAGCAAGAAGCAGGCTATTATTAGATTACCTGTTTTAGGTTGAGTAAAAAGCTTCTCGTTAGATATGCCTGTACGATTGCACGTGCACTCAAAAACAGTAGCTGATATCCATTTTCCTGTAATGAAAGCAGGAATCAGTATTAGATAGATACCCTTCCACACAAAAAAAAAAGCAAATCAGTCCATGACGATGTAAAAATGGAAAATAGTTGCAATGTTCCAACAATGACCTTAATGAACCTAGATTGAAAAATCAAGCTGATAACCTTAATTGATAAGTTATGCAGTCAAGAGATGTACCTTAATCGCAGAGAAAAGTCTAGACACACCAGTATGCGTCCAATCCTTTCCAACTAATGGCATGAACTGACCTAACACATCCGACCTGGGAAAATGCATCCAGGTGAAAAGTTTTACCATTAAACTAAGCAATATATTATCATGATGCTAGAGTGTTCTTTTTTTTTTTTTTTTTTTTTTTTGTATATTTGAAATGCTTTATTTTTCATAGCTTTGCAGATTTCATGTGCTGTCGTACGATAGCCCAAAGGACTAATTTGTATGACTGTCCGGCAGTAAACTACGTCTCTTATGGTTTTGCCCTTTGGCAATAGAAGGTTGCAGAAGCAATCGTATTTAGCAATCCAAATCATATTACATGATACCAGCCTTACTTGGTAATAGTTCCGTCCACGTCAGAAATTACAATTCTGGCATTCCATTTCCACAAGTAAATATGTGCATCAACCTGGTAAAATAAACATGGATTAGCAGCTAAATAGTAGAAATATATATAACTCTATCGGGCTGTATCTCAAAATATAGTTGAAACACCAGATGATTGGCAAACCTGTTGTGTCCCCCAAACCCTTGTAGAGAAACTGAAAGTTATCATATTTTGACCTTCTTTTAGATTTAAAGATGCTATCTGCTCGGTGGTGGGAACATTTGTCCTTACAAATTGCTTCTGAGGTAACTCAGGAGTTGTTTCAACTTGTGAGTTCTGCAGACTAGATTCAGAATCAACAAATTCCTCCTCATTTGATGAATTACTGTCGGTGTGCTCAAGTGTTTTGACCCTCCTAAATGGAATGGGCCAGAGCCTCCATCTGCGTCCAGTAGGAGTGGAGGGCGTTCCAGAGGGTGTTCCAGGATCCTCGTGCCTTTGTTTTTCTGAGCCATCTTGTTCGACAGGAATTGCATCCTCGGGCTCAACAGATAAATCTAGACTAAATACTGCCATTCCAAGAATGGCAGGAGCTGCTTTTTCCCACGAAAAGTATCTTTCCCTGTATTTGACAATCAAATTTTCATCTTTCAAAATTGATGTTGCAGAAGTTATAAAATTCTCTGCAGATACACGATGTGCAGCAAAGGTTTCAGCAGCAGCTTTCACACCCATACCCGGACGAAGTTCATTCCCACAGAGAGAAATCTCAAACCCTGGAAATTGTTAGAACAACAACCATAAATTAGATTATAAAATCATGGCAAAGTAGAGAGAGTTAAATAACAATTGGAGCCGGTAAGAGGTGCTTACTTATGCTTGAATGGACTTGTGTTTCTTCACTTGACGATTCTGTTGGGGGTTTTATTAGCTCATTTTGTGTTTCTTTGCTTGAAGATTCTGTTGGGGGTTCTATTAGCTCACTTTTACTGCATTCATCTCCACTTTCAGGTCTCTCAATCCCATCAACCACTGCTGATGTACCACACTGTTCATCCTTCCAGTTCGTATCATTACTGACAGAATGTAAAGAAATGCTATCAATACTTATTTGTTCTGAAGAAGGCACAATCTTTTCAACTGATTCATTTCCAACTTCTAAATGTGGAGGTATATTGTTGTCAGGTGAAATAGAATCAAAAGTTGAAGATGCCTCAACATTATTTCTCAAGTCAACAGTAGCATCTTCAGTTCTATCAACCAGCGGAAGTGTCTCATGAGATATTTCTGGTGAACTCTGAACCTCCAATGAGGACCCCGTATTTTGAACATCTTTTGCTTCATGTTTGGCCATTTGTTCTAGCTCCAAACAGCTCTTGGAAACCTCTGCCTTGTTAGTAGATGTGTCTTCTGAATAGCTAGGCATCTGAAGATCTCTTTCCTGTGTTGAAGTCTGCGTTTCTTGAGTTTGACAAGAATGTTCCCCTTCTCTTTCATCAACTTCTAACTGATATCCATTAGCACTATCATCCTTCCGAACTCCACTAATACTACCCGAAGCAACACTACTTGTAGATGCATTCAGCTTACTGATATAATCAGCCCAAGCAGTTTCACCTGGACAAAACTCCTCATTGCCTTCACAGAAGTCCGCCTCTTCACCTGGGCCCAGATTGAATCGAGGTGTGTCTAACTCCACGTTTTCTGAGGTTTGTTCTGATGCTGAGATGGGAGCTTTCAATACATGACCATCCACACTCACCAATATAACTCCCGAGTTTAAATTCTGTGATTCCACAATATGCTCACTGTCTAAATTATCATATCGACTCGACCCAAACTCCGATAACTCAACAGAACCCTCTAGAGGAGATTGCTCATCTTGGAATTCATAGTACCTCCGATCAGCATCAGATTCTGCCCTCTCTATCCGGTTTACACCAAACGAATTGCGTTCCTCTCTCATTTCAACCACCACCGAATCAGAGACACTGTGCTCAAGTCTACGAATGTCATGACTCTGGCCATCACCATCCAAAGCATTATCCCCTTGTGTAGCTTCTAAATTAACTGAATCCTTGACAACCCCATTTGTCTCACTTACTTCACCCGACTCAACCTCCTTTATAAAGTAAGCCTCACCCGAGTTATCAAGATACATGTGGAAATTGGCATCAATGCCATTTACATTTATGCGGACCATCTTCTCCGCACCTTTGAGAACGCCCTGAAATTTACCAAACCGGACATACCAAGGCGTGCTCCTAAACGTCCCATCCTGCTGCTGAACCACAATAACATCAACAGCCCCACCGAACGGATGAAAAGGGGTGGCAACTGAGTAAACACCTTGGGAAATTAGGCTCCCAACTTTGCCAACCACATTCATCGAGTCAAACAATCAAATGAAACCCCACTTATCATCTAACCTCAAAGCTCTAAATTCTTTCATACATTCATCGAAAACTCCGGTCCCGTGATCTTCTGATCTTTTTCCGGTATCTGCATAACATGCAACGGAATAAAAATCAAACAAAATGGTTTCCTAATTGAAGAATCCACATGAATAGAAGCAACCAATGTCATCTAAAAGTGATTGGAAACCCTAACACCCTGTTTGGTTGCCAAGAAAATGTGGGAAAATTTATTCTACACTTCCCATCATTAAATTCGAAAGTTTTCCATGCAATCCGTACAATTTGAGCTCGAAGATGCTAAAAAGTCTCAAATTTGATTCCCTGCGATTTCTGATTTTCTTGGCAACCAAACAAACCAATAACGAGAATTCTCCAATGCATACAAAAATTAAACAATTCAATCATTGACCCAAATTGAGAAACTTAAAAACCCCACTTTGAAAAATCATAAATTGTATAAAATCGGAAGAAAAAAAAAAAGAACATTGTGATGAAATCAACCTTACGGGTTCGAATTGCAAAATTTTTGAAAAGATAGAGCAATCAGACAGCTCAAAGGACTCGAACAAATTCCTCTATACGTCACCGTTTTCCTTCAATTCTGAATTTTTCCTTCTGGGTTTCTGTCCGCGATGGCGAATTGGGAAATCCAACCTCCGTCGTTTGAACACTTACGGGCTTCCAACTCTGGATTTCCGTCGCGAAGATTCGTCTGGATAAACAGGAAAAAACCAGAGACGGAAATTTTCATGGCGAAGCATTAAATAGGTAATCCTGGGAGTAAAATACCGAAGGGGTCCTGTGGGGTCGGGGAAATTGCATGGGGAGCTGCCGGCAGTGACGTGTAAATATCGGGCTTTGGATAAGGGTATTTCGGGGAATTCGGCTTGCTTACTTCGCTACTCAGATGTCGCGTCGCCAGGTTTGAACGGGTAGAGAGAGAGAGAGAGAGAGAGAGAGAGAGAGAGAGAGAGAGAGAGGGTCGGACCACCACCTCGGAGTTATACAAGTCTTTGTCTCGAAGTGAACAAAATTTTAGTACGTTTCTTATCAGTTTGTCCATCGTGCCCTCTGAACCTCAAATTTTTATTCAATTTATCTTTTGTTTTGTTTGGGTTGAGATGCTGTTTTTTTTTTATTTTTAACTATTGTTATGGCATGTCAGGGTTGGTTATACATGAGTTGGTAGGAATGCGATTCTTTTTGGTCTGGGTTAGAGCATTTTTAGTGACGGGCTCTATATAACGTTGAAAAAGCGGTGTATATATCTTATTTTAGAGCTCCTAGAAATCTTTTGAGTTTTATAAATGAATCTATCCAAATGAGGGGTTATATCTTTCAAGCTCTATATGGAGCTATATATATATATATTTATTTATTTATTTATATAATAATTTGATTAAGCGATGATTTTTTGTGTGTGTTAGCTTTCCTTAAGTTGATTTTTGGACGTGTTATCTTAAATATTTTTTATGAACCCTTCAACCTAAAAAGTTCAAATTGTGACAAAATTAGATTTTATCACTTATGAATCGTTCGTTGGATTAAATTGTCTTATCTCAATCTCATCCATTGAAAGAAACAAACTCTCACTTCGCCCTTTGAAATAATTTGATTTTCACGTATAATACAACAATTTACCTAGCATCAATTGGTAAATTAGTATCATACAATTTTGAAGAAAAAAATACTTGAAAATTCCACCCATCAACGCCCATGAACGTTAAATCAATTTGAAATTTTAATTTTTATGGAATTTAAAATAATCATTAATTAGCCAAATTGCAAGAAAAATAAGTAAGAAAAAAAATAAATAAAAAACAATAAAAAGAGAGTACAAGTGTATTCGCAAGTGGAAGAAGAGTGATAGAATTTTGCTCACATGGGTTGCTACTTTTTTTGTGGGACTCATTGTTTTTTTGGGCTAGATGTAGCCTAATTCTATGCTACCCAAGAAAGGAAGTTGTTAGCCCCAGTAGTGGATCTAGCCCCATTTTCTGGCTCATTGGGGATGAAATTATTCGCTAAGACTGTAAATGTGGTAGCCTCATGAAGGATAAAGCCCCCATTAAGGATGCTCTTGTATGGCCTGAGGTTTTTTTTTTTTTTTCCAAAGATAGAAATATATTAAAGACGAATAGAAAGGTTTACATCCTTAGCAAGAATATTAAACAAAAATTCAGGGCCAATACAATCCCAAGAAAAAGATCGGCCCTCCTTAAAGGCATACTTAGCCACCGAGTGAGCAGCACGATTACCCTCTCTAAGCACAAAAGCAAAAGAGACAGTCCTCAGCTTATGCACAAGAACCTCAATGTCGCCAAGAATACACTAAATACTAAAATCTACCAACATTTCCTTCTTCAGCATTTTAATAACCAAACTTGCATCAGATTCAATGATGATGTCATTAAACCCATGTTCGATACAGGCCAATAGAGCATACCTGATGGCAGAAACTTCAGCAGCCGCGGCACTATGACAGAAACCAGAGCCTATCCCCCCAGCTGCTTGGAGCAGTCCCGCAAAATCCTGACCCAGCCAACCCAAACCCATACGCATCGTGTCTTTACACCAGGCCGCGTCGGAATTAATCTTAATAGTTCCGAACCTAGGTTTCTGCCACTTAGTACAAAAAGATTTTGAAGCCTTAATTGTCTTCGGCAGCCTCGGTCTGTTGTCATCTTCTTCCCGCGCCAAACAGTCTTTGTACTCGCTAGTACTCTTCCTCCAGGCCTCCAAGATATCCAAAGGCTGGCGATATATCCCTTTGAATATCACATCGTTTCTGTTCTTCCATAATCTCCACAGGCCAAAGGAAAATTCTTGACGGATGTCATCCGCATTGTTCATATCCTTCACTTGAGCACAAAAGTTGCTCCAGCTTTCGAGAAAGTCACTTCCCTCCAGGGCGTGAGAATTGAGGTGCAGAGGAGAGCAAAACCAGAAGACATGGCTAAATTCACAACAGAAAAACAGATGGTTTTCAGTTTCATTAATGGCGTTACAAACACCACAAACATTGTCAATTCTCATATGACGTCTTTTAAGATTTCATATAACCGCCAGAGCATTGTTGCAGCATTGCCAAATGAAGCATTTGATCTTATTTGGAACCTGCAGACTCCAGATATTATTCCATACCAGATTTAAATTGTTACTTTCACTAGGGGCACCGCGCCCTTTCCTTCCCAAAGCACATTCTTCCATCAGTTTTAAAGCCAAACTGTACCCAGTTTTAACTGAAAAAATCTCATTGGTAGTGTAGTGCCACACCAGTCTATCATCTATGCCAGCGTGGCTGAGTGGAATGCTTAAGATCGGTAATACATCTTCCCGCTGAAACCCGAGCTCGATCAAGTCCGTTCGCCAAGAGTTAGTAACAGGGTCGATCAGATCACATACCATTGTTCCTTCCAGAATTGGTTTCGGGATGACTTTATAGGTTGAGGGTTTAGGGAGCCACGGATCCTTCCTAATGTTTATGCTTTTCCCATTTCCCACCCGCCATCTAAGACCAAGTTTAAGCACTTTCCGGGCTTCAAAGAGGCCTTTCCAGCCCCATGAGGTATTCTTCCCTTTCAGAGCTTCACCAAAACTTTTCCCCGGGAAGTATTTATCACTCAAAACAGAAGCTAGGAGGGACAAAGGGTTTTGGGTGATTCGCCATCCGATCTTGGCAAGAAGAGCAAGGTTGACACATTGGATATCCTTGAATCCCATTCCACCAGCCTTTTTCTGTTTCATGAGACGATCCCAAGAGACCCAGTGAATGCCCTTACGTTGTTCATTACCACGCCACCAGTAATTTCGAATAGCTCTTTCAACATCCCGACACACTCCAATGGGGAGTCTAAAACAACTCATAGCGTAGTTAGGCAAGGCCATAGCAACTGATTTCACAAGGATCTCCTTTCCCGCCTGGGACAGGTACTGTTCAGCCCAACCAGACATACGAGCTTCAATCTTATCCCGGATTTCCGCAAAGACAGATTTTTTTGAGTGTCCGAAATCGGCCTGAAGGCCAAGATATTTCCCAAATCCTTGTTTACTTTGTATCCCTAGGGAGTTCACAATTTTGGCTTTCTGACATTTCGGGGTATTAGCACCGAAGAAGACCGAACTTTTGGCCATATTAATCGTCTGCCCGGAGCCCCGAGCATACGTCTGTAGAACTGCCACTATGCTCTCCGCCTCCTCCACAGAAGCGTTTCCAAAAACCACAGAGTCATCCGTGAAAAGGAGATGCGTTATCGGTACACCAGTAGGAGATACCTTGAAACTGTGGAGGGCACCCCTTTCCAGGCTTCTCCTGATTAACATTGAGAATCCTTCAGTACAGAGGAGGAACAGGAAAAGGGATAGGGGATCGCCTTGTCTGAGCCCCTGATTCGGCCGAAAGAAACCCGTTGGGGACCCGTTTATGAGGACACTAAATGATACGGTAGAAATGCATTCCTTAATCCAGCTGCAGAAGATAGGCGCGAACCCCAGGCTAGCCATCATTCCCAAGAGGAAATCCCATTCAACCCGATCGTATGCCTTGGCCATATCAAGCTTGATACCCATCCCAGGTTGGACTCCTTTATTCTGGTGGATTAAGGAGTGAAGGACTTCGTGCACCACAAGGATGTTATCTTGGATTTGCCAACCACGAAGGCAGATTGGTTCTCCCCAATCACTTTCGGCATCACCTTCTTAAGCCTATTAGTGAGAACCTTGGCAATAATCTTGTAGATGACGTTACATAATGCAATAGGCCTATATTGCGTCATATTTTTTTGGCATTTCACCTTCGGAATAAGCACAACATTGGTGTGGTTGAGTTTACGCAGCAGGGAACCTGAGTGCCAGAATGCTTTAACAATCTTGACTACGTCCGACCCGACCGTGTCCCAGTGATCTTGGTAAAAACAGCCAGAGAAACCATCAGGACCCGGAGATCTAGTAGGAGGGATTTGAAAAGCAGCCTCCAAAATTTCACATTCGGAGACCATAACAGTTAAACCTCGGTTGTCCTCTAGGGAGAGCCGACCCTCCATGCAACTCTGAACTTCCGCCACCAGATTAGGCTGACAGGATTGAAAAAGTTCAGTAAAATAATCAATAGCCGTATTACCAATACCTTCAGAACTTTCCTGCCAGATCCCCCGGGCGTCCTCTATTCCTCGGATCGTATTAAACCGGCGCCTTTTTAGCGTTTGAGCATGGAAAAATTTGGTGTTCTTATCACCCTCGCGTAGCCATTGATTCCTGGATTTAACTTTCCAGTAAGCCTCCTCCTTCTGATGAGCAGCAATGAGCTCCCTCTTTTTTTTTTTTTTAACATCCTTTGAGGCAAACTCATTAGTTTCGTAGGCCGCCCTTATCTCTTCTTTCAGATGCTGAATCAGTTTCAACGAGTTCCTTCCTCTTCCTTTGTACCAGGCTTTTAAACTTCTTCTAAGATATTTCAGTTTTTCACAAAAACGGTACGCATGTGAGCCATAAATCTGAACTCTCCAATCTTCCCCAACCAAATTACGACACTCTTCCGACTTGCTCCAACGCCCATCGAATGAAAATTGCTTTCCCTTCCAATTCGGACCTTTATCAGTCGAGAGAATCAAAAGGGCGTGATCCGATCCTTCCAATATCACATGCTTGATTATTGTGTTGGGGTACATTTCATACCAGCCTAAGGTCGCCAACCCACGGTCAAGGCGTTGCTGAATAGGCAGGGACTCTCTTTTATTTCTCCAGGTAAAGGGGTAACCTTCATAGCCCAGATCCATGAGTTCATCACGAGCCACAAAATCTCTAAAGTCACGTAGACTAGCAGCCGGTCTGTAATTCCCTCCCTCATTCTCTTCGTTACAAAGAATATCATTGAAATCTCCTAGGAGGAGGCAGCGGTCCCGATCTTGTCCAATACGCTTAGAAACTTCTTGCCATTGCTCCCTTCTCTTCTTATCATCCGTACTAGCATAAATAGCGAATAGCCTCCAGTTACAGTTCATCTTCTCATCCCACAGTTTGAGTTCCAGCAAAAAGTCCTCCGATTTCATTAACACCACAGAGGTCGCATCTCTCCAGAAAACACATAAGCCACCTCCAATGCCGCGAGGCTCAACAGCGAACCAGTGTTCCATACCCAGTCTCCTTTTCAGATAACTCCTACTTTTATTCTTAGTTTCCAGCAGAATAACCATGTCAGGGGTGTGAAGCCGGTTCTGCTCCAGCAGGTTGTCAACTGTCAGGTCACCCTTAATACCCTGACAGTTCCACGTGATTATCTTCATGGATGTGTGGGGGACCCCTTACGGCTGGTCTCCTCCGCCTCTTTAAAGACACACCCCTTCCTCGGTCTGGTAGCTAGTGGCTCCTCTGTAGTAGTAGTCGATGAGAGCTCCATTTCCTGAATGTTTCGTTTTCTCCCTTTCTGTTCCATAGTTATTGCTTGAATGATAAGACCCAGTTGAAATGGGTCCTCCGTACTAATTCCATTCACACCAGCACCGTCTACACTCACCAGCCTACCCGCCTCCTCTCCGTTGTCTAGAATTCCATCACCAATTCCCTCCATAATGAATGGATCACTATTCAAGTCAAAACTCTGCCCTGTTGCAGTTGACACCCCGGTCAAGTTCCCATAGATCTCCTGTTCAAGGATTTCATGGAGAATAACGTTTTCCGCACCTTCCGCAATCACTCCTCCTGGTCCAATTAGTCCTGCATCGAAAGCTAATTATCTAGCCTTTCTTGCATTCTCTTTCTCCTGATGTTGGTGACGAATTTTGTCAGCTAGGTTAAGTCTCTCTTTATTCAGTCTGCTTGAAGACCAGCGGGGTTTGTTTGGTGATATGGCAGTATCAGCCTCTTCCGCGAGAATCGTGTCCGTATAGTCACTCCCACTGAACGATCTCGAGGCCCCCAGTTGTGTGTGACTTCCCAACCCGAGGCTGTGGATGATCGGCCCGATCGTTTTCCTCCATCTTGTTCCTCACTACGATCATCTTTCCATCTTCCAGTATCCTTTCGTCCTCCACTAGACCCTCGAGGAGTCCTAGTACTGCCCCCCGCGCCTAATAATTTACCCCTCAGATCCGTAAGTGCATCCAATCCCTTAAACGCAAACCCATCCCCCAACTCCTCAGAGGTTTCCCCTTCAATCATCCCTAGCTCCTGGGAGCCTTTGCACACACGAGTAGCATGTCCCAATAGACCACATATGAGGCAGTATTTAGGAAGCCCTTCGTATTTAAAATCAACCCACACTCTGCCTTCATCAGGGAAATTAACAAAAGTACCTCGCATAAGGGATTCACGTACATTGAAATGAATTTTTACTCGAAGAAATCTTCCAATGCAGTCTCTACTGCCGGATTTATCCACCGATTTAACCGTCCCGATTAGGCCTCCAATGGATTCCGCCACCGCTTGAGTCATGCTTAGAACAGGAACATTATGAATCTGCACCCAGAACGTTCCTGAGGAGAGAGAAGCCCATCTGTTGAGACCACTGTTCGTCCGCTCCGCAACCATGACTAGATCATTTTTAAAGTGCCACGGTTGATCTGCATCTACCACTCGTTGAAGATCCCTTTGACCGGCAAATCTAGTTAGGAATCTCCGGTCACCAATGTCCCTGATAGAAACACCTTCCCTCCCCCGCCACAGAGACATGAAACAATCTATGAAAGCTTCCCCATTTACCTCTTTCGAGGTAAGGACTTCTGCAATCAGAGTGTATTGGAGTCCCACTAGAGCACCCTCTACATCTTTCCTCTGAATACATATTCCGCCAAGCTCTTTCTCGGACAGTTTCAGCTTTGCCCCAAACCGAGAGCCCAGATCCTCTAGGTCCTTCTTGGGTTTATCCTCGCCCATGATCGCATCTTCCCCTTCTTTCCCGGACGAGGCCAATCCCCCACCAGGAGTCCAGATCCCGAACACCAGAGACTAGGAGCACCCCCCAGAGCTAGACCCCACCAATACCCTGATAGCCCTAGATCCCGCCCGAAAATCCTAACAATCTCTTTCCCAAACGCCTGAGCTCTCTTCCCACCTGCTCACCGAACAAGGAACCTGAGATTCACCGACCACCACGAGAAGGAACAGAGCCGAAGCAGACGAACCCCCTCGATGTCTCCGCCGCTCCACCCACCTGCTCACCGAACAAGGATACCAAGATTCACCGACCCAGCACCGGAAGGACCAGAGCCGAGGCAGACGAACCCCCTTGAGATCTCCGCCTACCTCCTGGAAACCCTAGATCCCGCCAAAGATCCCCGAAATTCACACTTCCAGACCTCCTGAACTCACCTCCCAACTACTCACCTAACAGGGGTACCAAGAATCCAGAATCACAGCCCCAACACGAGACGGGAGAGCCTGGACAGGCGAAACCCTTTCAGAGATCTAGACAGAACCCCTCCGGTGGTTAGACGAAACCCTCCTTTCGAGGAACAAAAAAGATATATCTACTCTAAGGCATATGAAGTACAGCACATTCTTTGTGAACAAAGAATAGTATGGCCTGAGGTTGAAGCTAATAAAAAGTAAGAGCAACTCCACCCCAAGCAATCCCCTAGGTTAATGGGAAATTCCCCAGCCCACCCCCTCCAAAACAAGCTCTAGCCCTTCCCAATAACCGGGGCTCTAGGGAAGCCCGACAAAGCCCCCAGACCCGAATTGTCTGGCTCAACGACTGGGTAGAGTGACGTCAGGCTGATGTCATGGTGGAGTCAGCCATGATTTTTATTTTTTTAGCCAGGCACGTGCAATTCATGCACTAGGAAAGGGTGAGCCGGCCGACAACTGCAACATTGGGAGCCGCACTGCAGCGCACTAACCCTCTCAGCCGTTCGGTCTGCACAGGATTCTATCCTACGGTCCATATTTTTCCAACTAAAAAAAAAAGAAAAATCTGAAACAATTACTCTATACTTTTTGGGCAACGTGACACAATATGGGTTGGATTACAACAAAATGTAATACAAAAAAATTGTTTAAAAAATACAAAAAAAAATATATATGTATATATATATTCAATGGTGTTATTAGGCAATCCACGAAAATTGTACTTTCTTAATGACATAAGCATGACTAGATTAGTTAAAAATCTATCCAAAATTGAAAATAAAATTATTGTTTGTTATTTTATAAATAAAAAATAATAATATTGTAATACGAATTGCCTAGACTATTAGCTTAAGGGTGGATATGCAATTGGACAGTTAGAGCACTAAAGGCAGTTAATGTGCACTTTGGGGGATTGGGTTGCCTATAGCCCAAGATGTATTTAAGGGGTGGAGTTGCTCTAAGTCGTAGTTCTGGTTGGTTTTTTTTTTTTTGGTCAAACTAATTTCCTATTTTTTTTTTTGCTCTAAAGTCGTAGTACTGTACAAGGAATAAAGAGCTCAAAAGGCAGCTGACAATTTAAATACAAACCCAACAAGAAAAAGATAAAAACAAAAAAAGCCCTGAAAAGCCAGGTGAAAAACAACAAAATTGGAGAGGAAACCAGTAGCCACCATCAAGCCAAATGCACCGCAAGGCCCGTACCACCAAGAGAACGAGCCAATGAA